AAATACAAATTAATCTATATACAAAACAGAAACAGATTCACAGACATAGAAAACAAACTATGGTTACCAAAGGGGGAAGGGGGAAGTAATAAATTAGAGGAGTATGGGATTAGCAAATACAAGCTACTGTACATAAATAGCTAAGCAATAAGGATTTATTGGGCAACACTGGGAACTATATTCAATACCTTGTAGTAATCTATAATGAAAAATAATCTAAAAACTATATCTGAATCACTTTGCTGTATGTCTGAAACTAACACAATAAGTTAACTATACTTCAGTTAAAAAAGCCTGGGTTCCCTTCAAATACTGCAAGCTCCCCATCATCTCCTTTGGCCATTTGGGGGTTTTAGACATACAGTGGCCTGGACACACACAATCCTGGGTGCTTCGCTTTGGAGCCAGTTGCATACTTGCAGGGAATTCTTTGGTACAGGAGACAAATGCTAAACCACATGTAAAGGAAGGAGTGATGGTAATATACTTAATACTCTGTTGTAGAAAGACCCAACATGGCTATTTAAATTTCTTAAGCAAATGAACCACAGGGGGAATTATCTGTTTTATACGAAATTTTTTTCCCCCCACAAGATTCTTTTAAAAAACAAGGATGTATATGTGCATTTTTTTTTCCCCCTAGGGAGAAACTAAGCATTTTACTGGATTCTCAAAGGGACCCTGAAAGATTGAGGTTACTGCTTGGTGTGAGTAAATAGAATTTGGCTTTCAAACGCCAAGCTTCTACTTTGATAATATGTTTCCTTACAGGAAAGATCCCATCTGAGCCTCTTTGCACTCTGCACCTTGTAAAGCAGTACCCAGCTCACAGCAACCCATAGGGGTTCATTTGGACAAAGCGCATGGGTAGGGAAAGCAAGGCTTCCTTGAAAACCATCACTCTCCAGGGCTGGCATTGCTTGGCATTGCCGCGAGCCTTACCCATTCATGGGTGTGCTCAGTGGCAGCAGTTAGTAGAAAGACTGTATCACTGTCTGAAAGGGTAGTAATTTTCAGTATTTTTGAAATGTCCATATTCTTTTCCGTGTGCAGCTACTATCACAGTTAGCTTGTTTGTATGGTACTTAAATTTGGAACGATTTTACAATAGATTCTTAAGAACTTCTATGGGATACATAGGTCTTCCAGGAAGCGGGACTTATGTAATGAGAAAACTGAAGCCTGGTTTCCCTCAGACAGAAGGTCTGTTTCCTTATTCCTTCCCTTAAATGATAAAGAAAAGGGCAGAAGTCCTATGAGATCCCAGAGATTCAAGTTTTAAAGCTGCAAAATAACCCAGTCAGGTCTGTAACAGCAGGAGACTTTTCTAACAAAGCTCACACGATTTGGGTTGGGCTAGCACCTGACCACTACAAAGTTAAAGAAAAACAAAAATTTTTTTTTCTTTTTTTAAAGCGACAGCTTACCTCGCTGGCTTAGCAAATATTTTTCCCTATTATAGTTTGTTTGGAAAAGAGCGTAACTTGGAAGCCTTCTTTATCCTTAGCTCTTCCTCCCGCCCCCGACTGTACCATTAAATCCTAGCAAACAGGGTGACTGAAAACGATAGGGAATATATCAGTAATTACCCCCAAGTTTCCCCCATTTTATGTAAACCAGCGCTTGTTACTTTTTAAAAGTTGATTGTAATAATCAGTTCAGGGCTTGTCTCTCCTTGCAAGATCACAGTCTGAGCGTGCATTGAACCTCTGACTTTAGCTCAGGGGGTGAGGTAAACAACAGGACTATAAATATCCGAGTTTCTCGCTGTGGCTTTGTGGAGCCGCCCAGCTGAGCTGAGAGAAAGGAAGCAAGCTGCTCGGGAGGGGTTGTGTAAGTAGGAACTTTGTGTTTTCCAAACTTGATTCCTTCAGAGTTTGGTAAATGATTTGATTTTCGAGTCTTGATAAAATGCTTTTGTCCTTAGAATAGATTTAAAAAAAAAGAGTTTAGACAAGAGTCTAAACTCCGGGTGCAGTGGGGACATTGTCAGTTCTAGCTGATTTTTTGCCCTGCCTTCTGCACTGCTGAGGATAAAGATGGGGGCAGAGGAGGCTGGAGAAGTGGAATACTTTTCCTCTGCAAAAAGTTTTGTTGTTATATAGGCAATACTGTGTGTTCAAGCTTAAGTATTTCCCACTGAAATGGGAAGTGAGAGCTCTAATGGCAAAACAGCCGGTGGGTTTCAGGAGCAGAGACAGATCTGGCCTGGGTAGGGTGCTGCAGAAATATCCAGGGGTATTGTGAGCAATTTCAAGGTAAAAAAAAAGAGAAAGCAGGTTTGGTTCCCTGTGCAGAACAGTCATCCTTGAAAGAGTTAAAACCCATGTCAAAATCAGTGGTTATTGGTGCTTTTAGGAGAATGAGGAGGGGACCCTCAGAAGCGGGTCTGAGGATGTGGGGTTGGGGAAGACGGTGGAAAAAGTTTCTGCACATTTTGCCTTTTAATGGGTTAGTGGTCAAAAAATCTAGGCTTGTGATTAAAAAGTGATGAGATTAGTGAAATTCACAACTACATTTTAATTGTTACTGCATTAAGTGAAGTTGCTCAATAGTGTCCGACTCTTTGTGACCCCATGGACTGTATCTGCCAGGCTCCTCCGTCCATGGGATTTTCCAGGCAAGATTACTGCAGTGGGTTGCCATTTCCTTCTTCAGGAGATCTTCCCAACCCAGGGATTGAACCCAGGTCTCCTGCACTGCAGGCAGACTCTACTGTCTGAGACACAAGGGCTTCCAATAAATCTAATTTTATTTATCATCATTATTTTATATAGTTAGTTGTCTGACAGCTGTAATCAATCAAAAGTTTCTTATGTAAAAAGTGATTTTAAAACTTTGAAAACAAAGTTAACAGCCTCCTGATTATAGTGATGGGAAAATCTGGAAGTGTGAACTCTGTAATCCAGTATCCTCTGCCAATGGCTTCACTTATTTTTTTCATCAAAAAATGAAATGAGTGAAATAAACTTTTCATTTATATTCACTCTTCAGCCAGTTGGAATGGTGTGCAGAGTAAGGGTGCCCGGTGCTGAGTTTATGCTGAAGGGTCTGTAACTACTGAACTTATATTCTATAAAGTGGGGGAAATCTAGTCATTCTAGTAAGAAACAAAAAAGCCTGAATAATTTTGATGTTTTCTTTGTCATCTTAGGGCATAAAAAACTCAATCCCCTCTGTCCTAACCTAGAGGGGTGGGATGGAGGAGAGAGGGAGGCTTAAGAGGGAGGGGGTGTATTGTACATACAGCTGATTCATGTTGTTGTGCATGATGGAAAGCACATGAACACAACATTGTAAAGCAGTTATACTGCAATTAAATAAATAAATTAAAACCCCCAAATTCTGGCTACTGTAGTTACTAAAGGTGACCTATCTGAAAAGAGTCAATATATTGCTGTAGGTAAGAGGTCATGTGGTGGAATTGGTAGAACTGGTTTGAATCCAGTTTCCCTGTGACTTAGTACCTGTGTGGACTTAGGCAAGCTGCCTAAACTCACACTTAGCCAGTTTTCTCAGCTGCAAAAGGAGATAATGGTCATATAGTTGTAATCAGGTTTTTAAAATATTCTATCCACAGCTACTAGTGCATTAGAGCCCGTATCAGTCTGATTTTAGCTTCTCTGCTCCCCTCTTAACTCTGGGGCTCAACTCTAGGTAATTTATCATTAGCTGCCTCCCCTCCCCCAACCACGCCCATCCCCAAAGTACTTTTACTTTTTTATCTTAGATCAGTGCCTGAACATGTGACAACTTCCTAGTTCTGGAATTTTTTTGTCTCTCCCACCGACCCTCATATCAAAATAAGCACACTTACCTTGATGACCCAATTCACTTGGTGTATCTGAAATTAAAAATTCATGTTTGCATAAATGTATGGATTTTTCTTTCTCTGCTCATCTCTGCTGAATATGTTCTTTTTTCCACCACCTATCTACAGTTCATGTGTTTTATTTGTACCTCTCTGCAGAGAGCTCTGGCCCTTGTTTTGGGAATACTTCTCATCATATATTTAACTTTCCTACTCAGACGGGTCATTTTTTTTTTACCCAAGAACATGCCATCTTGTCACAGGAACTTCCTGAAAGTAGTGGTAGCCAACAAGTAGACTCATAAGAGTGTAGAATTCAGTGAATCTTAAGTGGTACAAGGCCCAGTGATTTGTAGTATTTCTTCCTGGTCAGGTGTCTTCTCATTGGCCCCTATTGACCTTGGCTATAATAGCAACATTTTGGCAGGCAGTAACATCTGAATCTCTTTCTGTTGGTAGACTGCCCTCACTGCCACCTCCTTTCTTCCTAAGTTCTCTTCCCGTGATGTCTTTTCATTTCTATGCAGAATTCCTTATGTATCCTTCCTTTGCTTAGATTGGTAGAGGATAGAAAGAAGCAGTCAGAACTTGTATCTCAAAAATCAAATCATGTCTGCAGAATGTTACTTGCTTGTAGAGGCCATATTCTCAGAATTTCCCTAGACATGTATTTTCTCCTGAACATGTATCTTCTACTAGAGAAGCACTTGACTGCCTGTTCAGACTAATCTTCATAGCAGGCTTATTCAAGTAGCTTGCTAAACCAGATAGTCAAGAGGTGCTTAGGCAGCTTCCCTGACTTGGGCTGATCTTTCCCCTTTACAGGGAGATTTGGTGCTAAGATGAGCAATACAAAGAACCCAACAACATGGAGACAGAATCCACTGGCTAGATATTTGTAGAAAGTAGAATTATACCTGCTAGTTTATAGAGATTCCTGTTACGACTGTGAAGATGACAGAAAGGTTTTCTCTTTTGCAGGACAGCCCCAGCCATGTGGAGAGGCCTGGGGTTGGCCCTGGCTCTCTGTCTCCTCCTAGCTGGAGGAACAGAGAGCCAGGAACAAAGCTCCTATTGTAAGCAACCTCCAGCCTGGAGCATAAAGGATCAAGACCCTATGCTGAACTCCTATGGTTCAGTGACCGTGGTTGCTCTTCTTCAAGCCAGCTGATACCTGTGCATTCTGCAGGCATCTAGGTAAGGTAGTCTTTCTGTGGTCTAGAATTTCTTAAGTGGATAACTATTCAATAGATACATGCATAAAACAATAAAAATAGAAAAGATATATTTACTAAATTGCATTTAAAAAACCTGTATTTGTTGGCCTAGAACATGTTAGAAGAGAGAAGACTAGGAGGATGTTTACAGCGGCTTTCCTGGAGCTATGTAAAATGTTTCTTCTTTTGTATACCTATATTTTATAGTAGCCTACTAAATACATATTACTTGTGTAATGAAAATGTTTTAAATTGTACTCCTGCAAATGGATTAGTTATTTCAATATAGGAAGCAGATATGAGAGCTTTGCCAGAGTAGAACAAACATTATACTTGCCACCAAAGGTCTTGAGTCTTTAATGAATTTCTAAATATATATATCTGTTGGGTTATTTGCCAGATACTTACTGGGTACAATTTCTCTGTAACTGGGAGATGGATTAAAAAGATACACACTTCCCCTCACAAAAAAAATAAAATCAAATAAAAAAATAAAAAGACACACACTTCATAGGATTCATTTGAGGACCATATAGACTAATGTTTGTGCAAGCACTTGGCATATAGTTTTAACTGAGTATAAGAGTTCAATAAATAATTAGAAAAATACAAGTTTTAGTCCTTTAAAACAATATAAAAAAGAGGTCTGAGTAAGTAAAAAATAACAAAAGAGTTTCATGTAGGAAAATAGAGGAGAAAGGGAGAAGTCACTAATTAGATTTTTCCTTTTTTTGTACCTTTTTTTGTATTTTTTCCAAATATTTTAGATTGGAGGACCTGCGAGTAAAGCTGGAAAAAGAAGGATATTCTAACATCTCCTATGTTGTTGTTAATCATCAAGGAATCTCTTCTCGATTAAAATATGTGCATCTTAAAAATAAGGTTTCAGAACATATTCCTGTTTACCAACAAGAAGAAAACCAACCAGATGTCTGGACTCTCTTAAATGGAAATAAAGATGACTTCCTCATATATGACAGGTGTGTACCCACATTTATACACACGTGCAAGCACACCCACCCCCAAATTACAATGTACCTGCTTCATATTTAATGTAATAAGTGATTTAAAATAAGACATCTGCTTTTATCTTGTTACCAAATACTCAGTTTCAAAGTGAGCCCATTAGAATGTTTGGTTTTGCCAGATGACTTCCTTTCACACAAAAGTATTTTCAAAATGACTTCCTTTTACACAAAAGAATTCACCACTCCAATAGGGAAATAAGGAAAATTGAATATACTTTCTTTCCCCTGTACATTAGCATTCTGATTAAAAAGAAAAATCAATTTGTATCTTATGTACAATTCTCACTTAAAAATTTTGCAGATGAATAACCATACTTTGCAGACTACTGGCTTATCTCTAAAATCCAATTACTTTTAATACATTTTAAGGTTATATACCTGCATTTCTGAACTATAAAGTACGTTAATCATTTAGGCATAATCTGTATGAATCTGCTTTTGATTCCATGAATGAATAAAATGTTTGTATTATGAAAGAACTTCAATGCATACATTATTTGCTATCGTCATTTCTAGTTGGTGCTGGTTTGTTTTTTGGCTCTTCAGGAATGGTACGCCAGACTCTGCCTAGGCCTGAGACCTACTTGGTCTTACTCTTAAGTATTTTTAATATTACATGTTATTCTTTTAGGACTGCAAGCTTCTAATTTAATCTGTTGCAAAGTGTAACCTTTTGATATTCATATAAAATTGTATATACAGGATAAAATGGGGGCAAGAAAAGCATTTCAACTCTACTGTTTCTGAAAATGCCAAGTGTATTTCCATTTCTTCCATTGTGCTGAAATTTTTGCTGCGAATTCTTTTTTAAAATTTAATTTAAAGATTCTTTTTTAAATCAGTGGGCCACTGGCCAAGACTTGAGGATCTTTTTCATTATACTGTGATTTCTTATTGTGTGGAATTTGTGCTGCCTTAGCAGTTATGAAAAGATCATGTGATTTGCAGACCTGATTTATGAGGTCAGTGGTTTGAACTTTGATAGAATTTATGAGTCAGTTACAAAATTGTATTTGACCAAATCACAATAACTAGCCACATAATTTTGACATTATTTATTGTGACATATATCTATTTCATTTTTCACAATGCAGACTCACTGTAGTCTTTTTTCTCCTTTGAAACTTTTTCTTTTGTATTGGGGTATAGCTGATTAACAATGTTGTGGTAGTTACAGGTGAACAGTGAAGGGACTCAGCCATACATACACATGTATCTATTCTTCCCCAAGCTCCCCTCCCATTCAGGTTGACACATAACATTGAGCAGAGTTCCATGAGTAGGTCCTTGCTGGTTATCCACTTTATAACAGTGGGTACGTGTTCATCCCAAACTCCTTTACTATCCATCCCACCTGGCAACCATATCAGACTCACTATAGTCTTGTCATGATCTGACCTGGTATGCAGTGCCAGGGAACTTGTTTGAGATCCCCTTCAGGGAAATTTACTAAAGTTATGAGAGGTATTTATAACAGTTATAAGACCATTAAACCTACAGCCTCATGCCTGATGGTGCATGAGTATGATCATGATACTGAAAATATTGTTCACTTCAGTTTCGTCACTCAGTCGTGCCCAACTCTTTGTGACTCAGTTCTTCGCATCAGGTGGCCAAAGTATTGGAGTTTCAGCTTCAGCGTCAGTCCTTCCAATGAATATTCAGGACTGATTTCCTTTAGGATGGACTGGTTTGATCTTACAGTCTGAGGGACTCTCAAGAGCATTCTGCAACACCACAGTTCAAAAGTATCAATTCTTCGGCGCTCAGCTTTCTTTATAGTCCAACTCTCACATCCATACATGACTACTGGAAAAACCATAGCTTTGACTAAACAGACTTTTGTCAGCAAAGTTATGTCTCTGCTTTTTAATATGCTGTCTAGGTTTGTCATAGCTTTTCTTCTGAGGAGCAAGCATCTTTTAATTTCATGGCTGCAGTCACCATCTGCAGTGATTTTGGAGCCCCTCAAAATTAAGTCTGTCACTGTTTCATTGTTTCCCCATCTATTTGCCATGAAGTGATGAGACCACATGCCATGATCTTAGTTTTTTGAATATTGAGTTTTAAGCCAAAATATTGTAATGTATGTTTTTCAGATGTGGCCGCCTTGTATATCATCTTGGTTTGCCTTATTCCTTCCTAACTTTCACATATGTAGAAGACTCCATTAAGACTGTTTATTGTGAAGATAAATGTGGAAACTGCTCTCTCAAGGTATTTTTCTCAATTGTTTTTCTTTGGAGAAAAGAGGAAATCTTTTAAGAGCTATCTAAGTTAGTGTTTCATGACTAATTAGCTAAATCAGCATTTCTTTTGGTATACTAGAAATAAACTACAATAGTCATTTTTATTATTAGCTACACTTCCTGTTATGTAACATACACTTTAAAACATCTTTTCAAGATTCATATTTCTTTTATCTAGGAGGAGTTTAGAGAACAAAAATCAATGCAGATTACATATTTTACTTACCACCAAATGATATTGCATGACTTTAAGTGCTTAAAGAATTCAGCCAACATAAAATACACTATTGCAATATTATGAATGTGCCCATATAAGAACACAGTGATAGCGAAGATTATCCATGGCATTACCAGGCCCAGATAACTACTTAACTCACCAAGAATATAAGACTGTCAGCTTTTCTGTGACACTCTTACCCAATGCACTTGGAATTACTGATACTTCTTAACAACCACTAGAATATTTATTCTTTGTTATGAGAAACACTATCTGTATGTATGATTTATAAAAAATATACTCAAGGAATTGATTTTAACTTATATTAACTAAACTTCTTATATTAAATAAACTTCTTTTCCTCTCAGACTGAGAAGGAAAATAACTCCAATGTTTCCTTGACAGAGCAAGTTGGCAAAATTTGAACTCAGGTTCAAAAATAATTTTAAATTTTTATTTATAAGCTTTGCTTCCTTTAGATTTTTGCCCACTCTAGAGAAAGCCATTCATATTTTAATGACTCATTTAATAAGAAAATCAACAGTTTAAAAAAAAATTAAAGGTTAGTTATGTCATTCTTCACATTTTAATCTGCATAATAATACCATGAGGGTTATTTTACTGCTTTTACAGAATGAGACTGAAGTAAAGCAAATAAAGTACTAACTCAGTGTCTAACTTATACTCAGTGCCTAATGAATGTTAGCTATGTTGATTCCTATTTTGGGATTTGTTTCAGTATTTTGAAATTTTGAAAATGCCTAGTAATTGTAATGGAGAAGGAAATGGCAACCCACTCCAGTATTCTTGCCAGGAGAATCCCAGGGACAGAGGAGCCTAGTGGGCTGCTGTCTATGGGGTCGCACAGAGTCGGACACGACTGAAGCGACTCAGCAGTAGCAGCAGCAGCAGCAACTGTAAATATTAGCAGAGTTAATTTTATTGGCTCTTTTGAGTTATCAGAGAGGAATTAGTTTGTTTCAGAAAATAATATTAGATTTGATGCTTTGTTGACACTGGTGTGAAAGGTTCCGTTTGATAAACTGATTTTAGGATTTGATAGTTGTTTGATTTTACTGCATTCAATCTAAGTTCTTTTAACCAGTTTATTTAGTTTTGCTTCTGCAGATATAAATATAGTGGCTTTCTTTTTAAGCCTTATGTATCTCTCAAATTCTTCCTCAATACTCTTAAAAATTTAGGAAATGCTCTTAATAAGGAAAGGAAAATTTGAATTCTGCTGTTGATTTAACTAGTATAGAAGCTTAAGTAAATTGTTAAAGCTTTAACTTACTACATTCTTTTTTTGTCTATTTTCAAACCATTTACATTGATTCATTTGCAGAATGTTTGACGATTCTTCAGTTAAATGCAAACTTTGTACAAGAAGCACTTTATAATTAGATATGGATGGGAACCAAATTTTAATGAAAAGTCTAGGTGTTGAGGCTGAGATCAATTTTTTTTCTCTTATTAATATGATGCCGGAAACAGAAAACCAGTTCAAACCTAATTAAGCAGTTTGACTTTCATATATGTTAACTCCAGAATTCATTTTTTCATGCATTCTTGCTAAATCTATAAATTTGTTAAGTGATTTATAAAATGTATTCCAGACACTGGAAGATGAAGACTTCTGTAAAAATGTATCTCTGGCTACCAAGGAGAAAACAGCTGAGGCTTCACAGCGACATCACCATCCCCATCACCATCCCCATCACCATCCCCATCATGGGCATCAGCTTCATGAAAATGCTCATCTTTCAGAGTCTCCAAAACCAGACGCACCAGATACCCCTGAGAATCCCCCTCCTTCGGGTCTTCATCACCACCACCATAGGCACAAGGGTCACCAAAGACAGGGTCACTCAGATAACTGTGATACACCAGTAGGAAGTGAAAGTTTACAACTTTCTCTTCCACAAAAGAAGCTCTGACGAAAGAGATGCATAAATCAGTTACTCTGACAGTTTCCCAAAGATTCAGACTCTGCTTTGAGTAGCTGCTGTTGCCACTGTCGACATTTGGTATTTGAAAAAACAGGGTCTGCAATCACCTGACAGTGTAAAGAAGACCTCCCCTCTCTATGTAGCTGACAGGGCCTTTTGGCAGAGGAGAACGTCATTGAATCTTGACAGTGACGATTGCCTCCAGCTGCCTGACAGGCAGCAGGTCAGCAGCTCAACCCCACAAAACCCAGCACCAAGTGAAGCTGAAAAAATCAGGCCAAACTGTGAAAATGACCTTCAAATTAAATATATGAAATTGGATATACTCCTCAAGTCAATCTACACTATTACATTTCCAGCATTTTTATAAGCTACCTAATTAATAGTGATCCAAAAATAGGAATTGGATTTGTGCAAATATGGAGAAATTGACTTCCACATTTTAAAATTTAAGTCAAAGAAATTTTGACCCAAACCATATTTTTATTCAGCTGAAAGGTGGTTGCAGCATTTGGTTAATATGTTTTTCTTTTTCTTTTTCCAGTATTCTACTTGCATTAATGAGAACAGAAACGTAAACTATAACCTAGGGGTTTCTGTTGGATAGTTGGCAACTTAGAATGGAGGAAGAACAACAAAGACATGTTATCCATTTTTTTCTTTACTTATTTCTCAAAACAATATTATCTTTGTCTTTTTAATCTTATGTTTTTAACAGATTAAAACTTTAAAGCAGGAAGTGAATTCTGTCTTTTCAGACCCAGAAATACTCACACATGAATATTTTGCTATGATTACATTTTAGATATCCATTTATACTTTTTTATATCTAAGACTCATATCTTGATTTTTACTATCATATATGAATGAAGCCTTTATATCTTGTTTTCTTTATCTAGCATTTTATCATACTCTTTAAAATTTGAGACTGCCAATCTTGAAAGATAGATGGGAAAAGATAAAAGAATGTTGTCTAACTCTTAATTGCTTAGGAAGTATTTCCATAGTCAATGATGGTTCAATAGGCAAACCAGGTCCTATAAACCTGAATTTTTTTATGGTTAATACTATTAAGCAGAAATGTAGAACAGGACTGGCAAAAATGTGGATGTTTAAATTCAATAAAAAAGTTTAAAAAAGCTTTTTGTTTTCATTGTTGTTACTACTTAGGTAGTGTGATATATTGACAATCAAAATTAATTTTCAACTGCTTTTAAAGAAGTTAAATAGCAACTAATGAATCTACTCAAAACCGTCTACGCTTAAAGTGAGAATCTTTGCCAACAAGTTTAACTTGAGAATCTTTGCTGACAGAGAGGCGTTGTTCTAAATCATGAACGGTATTACGAAGAACTGCAATCTCCTTGTCTTTTTCTTCCTGAAGATGTTGAAGTTTCTAAATGGAGCAGAACAATTTTGTTATTGCAGTTCATAAATGATAACAACTAAGCATTAATACAAGGAACAACAAAACAGCAAAAACTATGCTTCTGGTTTAAGTAGAAGTAGGTATTTAAAAAGATACCATATTTTAAAAGGTCTATAATTTTGTTTTTGTAGGCATTAACAGGGTAAAACTGGTGTAAGGACAAAAAACACACATTAGCACTATTTGTTGAACAAGAAGAAATACGCTGAGTACCTAAACAACTTCAGAATAGTAAGTCAGCTTTAGTTCAAAATACATTGTGGAATTCCTGAGATAGTCCAAAGAGTCAAAGGACTTGTCTAATGTTTTAATTTACTACTAAGATTTACTAGTTTAAATTGAAAGTGACTTACAAAGATTATTAAAAATTTAATGTCTTTCTCATAGTGGGATAGATATATTTTCAGGAAAACTGCTAAGTAAATATAATTTTTATGGAAACACATTAAGAATTTTTTTGAGCAACAGTCATGGAAGAAAAACTCACGTACCCTTTTGTAGATACTGTGTGGCGAAACAGTAGAATCTGGATATGATTTTGCTTTAGTTTGAACTCTTGCTAGCTTGGCATCAAACTGAATCAAGTTTAAAAAGAAAATTGAGAACATTCTAGTTAAATGAAACGACTGTTTCTATAAATATAATCCACTATATTCTTAGATGTATAACCTGTAGTTCAAGTGTATTCACTGTATAACAGAAGATAGGAAAGTCTTCAGAACAAGGACTACCCAAACAAGATTAACCCCAGCTGCACTTTAAAATTATCTGGGCAGGTTTTTTAAAGAACCGAATACCTGGATACTACCTTAGAGATTCTGGGGTGGGGTCAGGAGCATTTTTCCTCAAGACATCAGTTGAGTCTATCATGTAGGGTTAAGAATCTAGTTAACTAGGGTTGAGAATCTCATTAACTTAAAGGTAGATAAAAATACTTTCATGTTACTATGAGTGTATTTTGTAAAGAAAATGTAGTGTAATCAACAGTCATGGGAAAAAATTTAAATACCCTTCTCTATAGAAACAGGCTAAATAGTAGAATTTGGACATGATTTTACTGATTTAGTTTGAATGCTTGCTGGTTTGACATTAAGCTGTATCAGGTTAAAAAAATTCTCATGGGCCATTCTTACAGGTCATTTTTTTTTTGCAAAATCTTCCATTATTTTTCCTTGATGTTGAGTTTAGTGTAGCCTCAGTGTGAACTAAGAATAAACTCAGTAAGATTGTGTTCTGGTTTGGGGAGAGAATGAATAGTTACAATGAAGAAAAATAGCAAGTGAAAGTCGCACAGTCGTGCCTGGCTGTTTGTGACCCTATAGACTATATAGTCCATGGGATTCTCCAGGTCAGAATACTGGAGTGGGTAGCTGTTCCCTTCTCCAGGGGGTCTTCCCAGCTGAGGGATCGAACCCAGGTTTCCTGCATTGCAGGCAGATTCTTCACCATCTATCTTTCTACACATTTATTAGGGAAAAAATAGTTATTTGTTGTAAATGAAAAACTTCCAGTTGGTTCATCAGGGTTTCACAATTACTGCTGAGGAGAGAGTGACATTAAGGATTAAAAACACTCTCCCGACTGCTAGAATGGTAGTCCTAAAACGGCTGCACAGACTCAGCTGTCACATGCAGGTAATCTTTGAGCTGTCTCTGCACCCAGAGGAGATAGTACCCTCTATGGAAATCAGCACCTTTTGAATGACTGAAGAGTCCCACTTTGAGGCTAAGTGCTGAAAGGCAGTGTAGCTAACAGTTGAGTAGGGTTTGAGCATTGCAGGCTATGGATAAAGAATAAGCATGTGTGAAACTGTCTCACAGGGTTGTTTCTAATCCTGAAATTTCACTGGGATGACAAAGAATGGCCTAGATTAAGAGATGCATCCTCAAATTCAGCAGAGCCTTAAACACTTACCTCTAGCTGTAGTTTGATCATTTCATTTTGTTTTTCCCTTTCTTGAGTTCTTAACTTTGCATTTAACTCGGAAATTTCCAACTCCTTTTTCTCTATCATTTCTTTATTCTTTTCTTCGCTTAATTTGACTGAATAAAAAAAATTCACCTTAACATTTCAAAAATCTTAAAAGATTACTTTTTTGTATTTAAAAAAACAACAAGAAAGTACAACTTATAAATAAAAATGTATTTTAGAAACTGTTTATGTGCAGAGTAGCTTTTATATAGTTTTAACAAGTCCCTTAAAAATGACTGAAACAAAAGGGCTGCCCGGTGAATGCTTTTGAATGAGTACACTAATTTTTACTCTTAAATATCTAGAGAATAATGTTCTCTGAATCCCTGGAGAATAGGAGATTTATTGGCTAAAAAGGGATACAAAGCCTGGGTTTCTAGGTATAGAGGGCTTCACATCACAGGATGACTAGAGGTATACCAGCTTGTTCTGGCTCCCTCACTATTTCCCTTCATCAGCATTTTGTCCAATAAATTTCTTTGAATTTCTACTCCCATTTCAGTGGTTCCTTGGAGGATATGAATCAGCACAAGAAACAGTTAGGATGGGCACTTAACACTTTGTGAGGAAGAGGACGCCATCATCAGTGGTATGTGGAAGACTGGGAGTTCCTCGTACACCACAGGGGTCTGATTACTCAAGATTTTGTTGTTGTTGTTTAGTCGCTAAGTCATGTCCAAATCTTTTGTGACCGCATGGAGTGTAGCCTGCCAGGCTTCTCTGTCCATGGGATTTCCCAGAGAAGAATACTTGAGTAGGCAGCCACTTCCTTCTCCAGAGGATCCTCCCAGTCTAGGGATTGAACCCATCTCTCTTGCATTGGTAGGCGGATTCTTTACCACTGAGCCTTCAGGGAAGCCCACTGAAGGTTTTACCAGAAGTTATCTGGGAAAACATCCTGGTGAAGGTGAATACCTTGTAGGTATAATAGTTCAGGCATTTGAAGATGAGAGAAACAAAGCTCACAAAGACAGCAGAGTTATTTATCGCTAAATTAAATTGGCCTCCTGTGCGTGCGTGCTCAGCTGGTTCAGTCATATCTGACTCTTTGTGACCCCATGGACCACCAGGGTCCTCTGTCTCTGGGCTTCTCCAGGCAAGAATACTGGAGGTGAGTTGCCATGCCTTCCTCTGGGGGATCTTCCCAACCCAGGGATCGAACCTGCATCTCTTACATCTACCTGCTTTGGGATAATAAGAGACTGAGAGCTGTTAGAAGGTAAAGATTTAAAGAACAGGTGTGAGTCAGACGGTCTCTTTGGAAGCCCACAGACAGGCTCTTATGAACTCTAGAGGATGAGCAGGCACAGCTGAGCAACAGAATCTAATCATTAATGTTGCAGAACTCCAGAGAGGTTTAAATGCTCAGCTGAAACAGGTGTGCCATGCTAAATTAGGATCCTGGTTGGAAACACCTAATATCCTAAAAAATAGGACATGGATATCTGGATCAACGCCTGTGAGGAAACTGCTTTGACAGCTCCCCTAAATGCTCAGAATTGGCAGGAGTGACCTACCTTTTCCTAGTAAAAGCTAGCCCTTAGCTTAGCTGATGAAAGATCCTGCAGAGGCTCCTCTTCAAAGCTGCCCGGCCTCCTCTTCTGGTGGCTAGGCCAGTAACTAGGGTTAAAGCTCAGTAACACCTGGCTAGGGGAGTGCTGGGGCTGGTAAGTGGGGAAAGTGAATATACCCCCAAAGAGCTGCAAGAATTAGCTAGGTTGTATTGGGAAGAGCCATGTGAATACCCTTGAGAAACCACTTTGAGGGTGCTGGATAGAAGAAGACAGAAATTAAGACTAGGTAAGCAAGAATTCAAGGACTTGAAGATAATCTTTAGGGTCAGGGGACATAATACCCTAGCAAGGACAAAGGATATGGGGCAAATTCTGTTGGAGTAGCCTTAGACCTCTAGAGAAAGCACTGGCCAAAACAGAGAGAAGTGGCAACACCTGAGATGCCCTGGCAGCTAGCGAGAAAGGTATAAGGAGGCTCTCAAAAGCTGGCATGCTTGAGTAGATGTATCTTGCAAGGCAAGAAAATGCACCAAAGGATTATGTTCCTTAGGAGGACACAGAAGACACACTATTAATCAAGCCACAGGGAATGTGCTGGTGAGAGACAAACCAGCATCGCTAAGAAGTTCAACTTTCACTCTTATCTGCAAGCTAGGTCTGACAGTAAGAGGTTATAAAGTTGGGCTCATTAATATTCATGAATGGTGTCCCCCTTCCCCCACCAAGTTATAGAAGCCAGATGATGGTGCTTAACTGCCAGAAGCCAGGAGGCCACAAATATCATAACGACCAGAAAGGTCAGAAAGCAGCCAAACGGGTGTTTGAGAATCACAGAGTTAGTTAACAGATGAGCAGTAAATGCTGCTTAACAAGTACAAAAGAAATAAGAATGGAGGAACAGGAGGCTGAGGGCACATGGCTCTGTTAAAAATTATTCTTTGCTCGGTTCCCTAACCTGAACCAAGGTTTTGGTCTAGGACCTGCTGACTGAAAATACACAATTAGGTTCCTAGGAGGAAGAACATTTCAACAACCCCTCTTCTAGGTTTCTCCTGAGGAAGAAGTGTCCACAGGAAGTATGGAGAACCTGCTGCCTGAACTCCTATGGAGAAGGAGGTACGAATAGCATAAGGAGGGGACTGTTGTGGCCAAGAAAATGCATCTTTCAGATCTCCAACTTCAGGGAACGTAACTGACTCATTGTTTTTCATGACCATATTTATGCTGAGGTCACGATTCCCAAGAGCTGCTCCTAGCCACTGACTGAACTTGGCATGGATACTAAGGCAGATTTGTTTCTGAGAGTTGCAGAACTTGGTTGATGGGCAACTTTGGCCCAACTTTGCTGACTTTTTTCTTATAAATGTGTCACAGACTGACTTCACCTGGCCAGCACCCCTTTCTTCCTTCTCTTTTTCACATCGGTTCGACCTGTAACAGCTAACCCATCTCCCCCAGTTCCCTATCTACCCTCACAAATGTTTTCCTTTACAAATCTCTTGAATGTCTAATTCTATCTAGGCATCTGCTTCTCAGAGAACCCAAAGAAACTGCAAAAGTCTTTTCTAAAGTCGTTGTGTAATTTTACAGTCCCACTGGTAATGTATGAGAATTCTAATTGCTCCATATCCTCACCAACACTTGGCATTGAAGTTTTGAGTCCATGGGGTTGCAAAGAGTTGGACATGACTGAGTGAACAACAACAGAAGGTGCAATGTGGTATCTCATTGTGGTTTTAATTTGCATTTTTCTACGAACCAATTATGTTGAGCATGTTTTCATGTGTTTACTGTCATCTGTACATATTATTTGTGTCCAAATATTTTGTTCATTTCCTTATTGGGTTGTTTGACTTATTATTGAATTAAGAGTTCCTTATAGATTTTTGAACATAAGTTCTTTATCAGTTTTGCATTTGTCAGTATTATCTACTGGTCTGTAGCCTGTCTTTTCATTTTCTTTTGTGTTGAAGGACAGAAGTTAATAGTTTTTGATGTTCAATTTAGAATTTTTTCCTTTATTGTTTGTGCTTTTTGTTTCTTTGTAAGAAATTGTGGCTAACTCAGGGTCACAAAGATTATCTTTTATGCTTTCTTTAGCTTTTTATAGATATAGGTTTACATTCAGACCTATTATTCAAGTTAATTTTTGCATATGGTGTGCATCTAGGCTTGTTAAGAAACTTAATACCTTTATGAAACCAGTTAACTCTCAACATTAGTTCATGAGACCTACTTTGCTGAAGGAAAATATTTCATTAGTGAAATTATATTCAATTATGAGTATATAAATATAAAAGCTAGCTTACATTTTATATTAATTTTACAATAATATTAACTATCTCACATTAAATAATGTTAAATTCAAACTCCATGAGTCCAATTTATAAATAATATATAGAAAGCAACAAAACCTAAATTCAGATGTGTTAAGACAGTATTTATTCAAGAATACTGGTAATTACTGAAAAAAATTATATATATATATGTAAGTTTTTTATGGAATCTTAGAATTCAGTAAATTAAAAATAAAAACTTACCTTTTTTCTGCATATCTTGATAAAGTTTTGTCATTTCAATCTTATGTCCCTCCTCTTTGATTTTCATTTCACTCATAAGTTTGGCGATATTACTCCTAAGTTCCTATGGATTAAAACATATATTCATTGTTCAATTTAAGTATGTGTTCACATTTTTTGATTAATTAGATGAAAATTTCAAAGTTTATATTAATTTTTGATGTATAATTATATCTAGAGAGGAAAGATATTGTTCATTGTTTGAATGCTAAACTTTGAGAAGGATCAATTTCTTGTTCAAGTAGAAAGATCATCTAGACACAATGATTTTTTTTTTTAAGACACAATGATTTTTTATCTTTGCCTCCTGAATTCTCATCACCATAACTTATCATAGATACTCAAAATATTTTAAGTGTGTGCAGAAATGCCATGAACATTAAAATATTTCAAAAAAGCCAAACTATATTATAGAGTCAACTTTATGTATCATTTGATAGCCAGCAAGCTTACCCCAATATAGGGTGAATCTCTGAATGTGGGCTGAATTTCCATTTCTGACAATTATATAAACATCCCTAATCTCCAGGAGGAGGTTAAGCATTATCTATGGTAAGGGTCAGCTTTATGAGGAGGCTAAAGAAGGATGAATCTGGGATCTGAGACGTGTTCAACAGCTTCCTGAGGTTAGTTTCATAGGCTGTTGAAGCAGAGAAGTGATTTATTATGCTCATGAGGAGAGTGGCATTTAAAAAAGTATTTATTTTTTGGTTTGCTGGGTCTTCATTGCTGTACAAGGGCCTTCTCTAGCTGCAGAGAGCAAGGGCTACTCTCTAGCTGGGGTGCCTGGGCTTCGCATTGTGGTGGTTTCTCTCGTTGCAGAACACAGGCTCTAGGCACATGGGCTTCAGTGGTTGTGGTGCATGGGCTCGCTGCTCTGTGGCACGTGGAATCCAGGCAGATCAAGGATCAAACTCGCGGCCCCTGTCCCGTCAGGTGGACTCTTACCTACTGTACCGCCAGGGAAGTCCCTGGAGAGTGGCACTGAGGAAGTGTGCAAAGAGAAATCCACCAGAGAGATTAAACTTTCAATTTTTCCAGAGGTATATTTCTAAATGGAGAGGAGTAAAGGAAAGAAGGAAGAATAAAAGCGAAGTGGGATAGTAAGAAAGAGACAATGAAGAAGGCAAAAGGCCCAGAAAAATCTTCTAATAAACATCGTAAGGCTTCCCAGGTGGCACCAGTGGTAAAGAATCTACCTGTCAGTGCAGGAGATGCAGGTAACGAGAGTCTGATCCCTGGGTCAGGAAGATCCCCTGGAGTAGGAAATGGCAACCCACTTCACTATTATTGCCAAAATCCCATGGACAGAGGAGCCTGGTGGACTGTAGTCCATGGGGTAGCAAAAAGTTGGACATGACTGGGCACACATGTGTGTTAAACACTGTAAAAGCAGGGATTTTGTTTTTACTCACTGTTGTATTCCTACCTCCTGGTGTATATCCCTTGATATATATTCAATGAATAAGAATACTAATAAGAATTATTTGTTAGAGGTTCTTACCCTAGACCCAGATAAAGGGTTTTCAAGGGTCTGTTAACTTCCTGAAATTGTATGCAAAATCATGTCTGTGTGCATGCATGTGCCCTTTTGAGCACTTTTTAAAAAATCAGGGTTCATGGGTTTTAATAGATATTCAGGTATTTGAGGAGATTAAAAAAAGTCAAGATCCACTGGTTTATTAAGCAGCTATAATTAAAAGTAAAGATTAACTTATATAATTAAAAGTTAAGAATTTCCTTAAATTCAAGAGGATACAGTCAGGATTCCTACTTGTGCCGCTTAGTTTGCCAGAAAACTTGCAGGAATGGCTGAACCTATCCAACCATTGCCTTTGATTAAAGTTAGGTAGGTGACTGAAGGGGTCAATCTCATAGACTGTGATATTTTTCCTATGCATGTATCTAGATTTCTAGATGGGCAACTACACAATGGCTTTCATAATGACTTCTGACTCAGATGGGTGCAGTAAGCAGTTGCTGCTCTGGGAAACTCTAGGAGACAAATCTACATGTCTTTTCATTCTCCATTGATTTTTCCCACCTGACATGTTGCCATTAGTTTGGTAAGACTGAGGATTTTCACTGTAGTCTTGACGCATGAAGCCTATCTTAAATGTCTGGGTTGGTACCAGGCTGTATCTCACTAGGTTCTTCTCCTCTAGTATAACCTGTAACAGCCCCAAGGAGTCCAATCCTTTCTTCTTTTTAAGGGAACAAAATTCCAACAGGTTCTTCTTGATTGCCTTCTTTTCATTTGCTTTCTTGACAACTTTAAATGCCAAGGCACAGTTTCAGGTTATATTTTCCTATAAAACTTAAGAATTCTTCATATACAAGTTACAAATCTTCCAGTCTCATAAATACGGCTGTTAAGTAACTCCTAAGTTTATTTCTAGGGAGTGGTTCTCCATATGTCTTGGATGTGCCTGGAGATGTTGTACTAGAGAATGTTCATTAGATTGAGGTTATCTTTAGTTTGCTTTGGACAGCAGTTAATAAGTGAAGAATCTTGGGTTACAGTGTTTATTCTGTCATTCCCACCCCTCTGAAGATTCATATTATTTTAGACAAAGTATTCTACAATTTGACATTAGAAGAGAAAGGAGGCAGAAGTTTTCCCCCTTTCTGTTCCAGTTACACTTATACCCTGACTTCACAGTTATTGTTGAAATGTAAAGATATGAAAAGGATGGAAAAATAAAGGAAAGACATAAAGGAAATATAAAGAATGGGATATAACCCAGAGATATTTAAATTATTTCAAAATTGGTGATGAGAAGCTAAATTTTCCAAGAGTACATCAGATGCCATTCATTACTCCTGAGTATTACCTAGAACCGCTGGCATGTTTACAGAATTAGCTTGTGTTTCTTCAAAGGCTCTTTAAGTGAAGAACCAGACTGAAACAGAGATGATCCTTCAAGTTGAAATTCTAAGGTGGATACATATCTAAGCTGAGTTTTGGAAATCTTAGATCTGCCAGAGTTTGACATATTGGCTCTTGGGAGATGAGAAAAAACTCACATAATAAACCTCCCAAAGGGCAGAGGGGTGGGAACTTATATTCATTGAGAATATTTTATATTTTATGTTCTATAATTACTATCATGATGCTGTTCTTATAGGAGAGAAGAAAAAGTAGCAAAGTGTATGCTGGCTCTTGGGAGAAAATTAATTGGTGACCCACACAAAATGCTCTCTTCATTTGGATGGTGCCATAAAATTTCAATAGATAACTCAAATCATAAATACTGAAGGCATTCACTTTATCATAAAAAAGCTTTTATAAAGTGCTAATTAAGAGTATACCGAATAATAAAAACTCAAACATAACTTTCAAATAAATGGCAAAATTGTTGCATCCCTTTTTGTCAAAATAAAAAGTAATGCAAGCAATATACTAGTGCATTATCTGTAAAACACTGAGGGTCTTCAAAACTTGTATCTTTTTGGCTGCCTATATTAATGAAAAATGACTTTTTTTTTTCTAATTTGGGAAGACAATGCTCCACAGGGATTTGATTGACTATAAAGACACATAAACTCACCTGTTCATGCACTTTAAACTTTTCTTTCATAAGATCAGCATTTCTTTTTAGTTGTTCATTTTCACCTGTGTAAAAGTCATCAGAGTATTATAATATATAGAATTTTTCAAATAATATGGCAATATTTTTAACCCATCAAGTTTCTGTTCATGTATGTATTAAATATGTGAATACAAAATCTACTACACATTAGGCTCTGTGCATGACATTGGGAATGCTGAAACAAAAAAATTATTGCTGTTCAAAGAACTTCCAGCCTAGTGGTAAGAGAGATGTGTAGGCAGTTATGACAATGCTAAGATAACCGTTCTGTAATGGCAGTGTGTCTGAAATATGGCGGGGAGATATGGAAGAAAAGCTTAGGTCATTTCTAAGTCAGGAAAGAGTTTATAGACGAGGAAGCACTTGATCTGAGACTTGAGTAGTAAGTTGGAGGGATGCATTCTAGATACAGAAAACTATCCAGAAGACTTTGGACTTGAATGAATATAGCACATTTGGGAAAATTACAATTCAAGTACAGCATTGTTGGAGTGTAAATTATAAGGAGAATGTGTTAAATAGGTTGGGAAAGTAACTTTATGGGAGGTAGACAGATTCTGGGTGAAAAACTTTGAATTTTATTTTATAGGTTATAGACTCATCAAAGAATTCTGAACAGTGAAATGAAATGATTACATGTTCAAAAAGATTATCTGGCAGTGCGGAGGATGAATAGGGAAGGGGCTGACCCCAGAGGATGTCCATACATCAGTAATAGATCAAGTAAGAAATAATGGGAGCCTAAATTAGGTCACTGGCAGTAGGAGACAATGGAAAATAAAGACAAATATATAGATGATAGAATTACCAGGAGACTTAATACTGGTTGGATAGCAGCAGCTAAAGCAAAAGGGGAACCTTTGCCTTCTAGGTTTCTGATTTGAATGGATGAAAACTGTTAATCAAGTTGGGAAAAATTAAAAGGGGAAGATTTTTAGGAGTAGAATGATGAATCTCTATCTTTATCATGCCAAATTTGAAATGCTTGAGATATCCAGGAGAATATTTCTTATAGGCTGAGAAACATTTAGAAATGGCTAAAGGAAACTATCCTATATCCTATCCTATAAAGGAGACTAAGAAATGTCCAGAGATGCAGGAGAGGGTGTTACTAAGAGAGTTTATGGGGATTATAATCCATGGCAGTAAATGCAATAAAAAGGTGAAATGAGAGAACTTTGAATCTGAAATTTTTGGGAGATGTCCAATTGTTCTACGTTGAAGACTAGGTGAAAAGTGAAGTCAAAGTGAAAGTGACTCAGTCATGTCCAACTCTTTGCAACCCCATGAACTGTATAGTCCATGTATGACTAATCCAGCCCAGAGTACTGAGGTGGGTAGCCTTTCCCTTCTTTAGGGGATCTTCCCAACCCAGGGATTGAACCCAGGTCTCCCACATTGCAGGTGGATTCTTTACCAGCTGAACCACAAGGGAAGCCCAAGCATACTGGAGTGGGTAACCTATCCCTTCTCCAGTGGATCTTCCCAGCCTAGGAATTGAACAGGGGTCTCCTGTATTGCAGGTGGATTCTTTACCAACTGAGCTATCAGGGAAGCCCAAAGACTAGATGAAGGTAAGGAAATAGAGATAGTGAGTGCAGACTATTCCCTTGAGATTCTATTGCAAAAGGAAAGAGTGAGGGTAATTGCAGGGAATAAATCCAAAATCAAGGACACTTTGTTGTGTTTATTGAAAAGATGGGAGAGATCTGAGTTGTTTAAAAGCTGAGAGGAATGACCAATAGAAAGAGGGAAATGAAAGAGAGAAAGGAAGGGACAATAGAAGATGCAACATCCCAGAAGAAAGAGGTGAAGAGAGATGAGACTTAAGTGGAAAAATAACTTTGGATAGGAAGAAGGATTTTTTTCCTTCAAAGGAGGAAGAAGTAAGGATATGTCTGTGTATGAATACACTGGAGGAACTGCAGTGGGAAGAAGGGGTAGTAGGTGACAGAAAATCAGGTAGTTTATGTCTGACAGTTTTCATTTTTTCTATAAAATAGAAAGTATAGTAGGTTCAAAGAGAAAGAAATATTTAAAGTTGGGGACTTAAAGAATGAAAAATTTAAAAGCCTGGATAAATTAAGGGTATATGTGAAACTGGGACTCAAATTAAAATGCATTTGCAATTTATGTTTTTTTTTTTATTTTACCAATAGCCTTCAGTGCCTATAGCACTGTAAGTCAAACAAGTATATGGCTGGATTGATCTGTATTTGAGGATTAGTATAGTTTGTATTCTAGGATAGGTGAGGGAAACAAAACCACTGTCCATAAAAGATGAGGGACTTCCCTGGTGGTCCAGTGGCTAAGACTCTGAGCTCTCAATGCAGGGAGTCAGGGGTTGATCCCTGGTCAGGGAACTAGATCCCATACACTGCAACTAAGACTTGGTGTGGCCAAATAAATAAATAAATAAATATTTTAAAAAAGAAGAGGAGTTGATATCCTAAGCTAAGCTAAACTAGAAGGAAAGGAAGGTTTAATCTTTGAGCCACATTTTTGAGAACCATAGTTTTATTTAGATAATGCCCTATTAAGTAAAACTTAAGAAAAAATGAATTTAGGTAAAATACAGTTTTGCATCTTCAATTTGCCCTACTATTTCATACCTATCATAATTCTGACATTTTTTTTTTTTAAATCAAACTCTTCTCTTGACAAGACATGATGGAGACGGAGGGGTGCTTCACATTTTTACTCTTGTTAATCATTTCACTCTTGTTAATCACTAGGTGTTTTAAGGAAAATCAGATATACTTAGATCAGGAAAAAGTCAGTCCTGATTTAGTGTGTGGTGAGGGTTTGAAGATTGCCAGGAGAAATATCAACAACCTCAGATACGCAGATGCATCCTTACGGCAGAAAGTGAAGAGGAACTAAAAAGCCTCTTGGCGAAAGTGAAACAGGAGAGTGAAAAAGTTGGCTTAAAACTCAACATTCAGAAAACTAAATTCTGGTCCCATCACTTCATGGGAAATAGATGGGGAAACAGTGGAAACAGTGTCAGACTTTATTTTTTTGGGCTCCAAAATCACTGCAGATGGTGACTGCAGCCATGAAATTAAAAGATGCTTACTCCTTGGAAGGAAAGTTATGACCAACCTAGACAGCATATTAAAAAGCAGAGACATTACTTTGCTAACAAAGGTCCATCTAGTTAAGGCTATGGTTTTTCCAGTAGTCATGTATGGATGTGCGAGTTGGACTGTAAAGAATGCTGAGCGACGAAGAATTGATGCTTTTGAACTGTGGTGTTGGAGAAGACTCTTGAGAGTTCCTTGGACTGCAAGGGGATCCAACCAGTCCAACCTAAAGGAGATCAGTCCTGGGTGTTCATTGGAAGGACTGACGCTGAAGCTGAAAGTCCAATACTTTGGCCACCTCATGTGAAGAGTTAACTCATTGGAAAAGACCCTGATGCTGGGAGGGATTGGGGGCAGGAGGAGAAGGGGACGACAGAGGATGAGATGGCTGGATGGTATCACTGACTCGATGGACATGAGTTTGAGTAAACTCTGGGAGTTGGTGATGGACTGGGAGGCCTGGCGTGCTGCGACTCATGGGGTCGCAAAGAGTCGGACACGACTGAGAGACTGAACAGAACTGAGGGTTTGAAACAGAGCAAGGATCTGTACCTGAGCCAGACATTAAAGGTGCCCATTTAAAAATTCTTTGTTCCTGCTGATCAATTTGTAGAGCTTCAAATAAATTATTTATTTTTTGACTTGTTTTACACATAGTATGCAGAGTTCTTTTTACATTGTTGTTGTTTGTACTTTTGTTGCATTGTTGTTAAGAAGGTGTGTTAGGTCTTTTTTTTTACTTTATATAGTAACTGAGCTTCCCAGATTGGTTAAGATGATATCCCTCAGCTCCAGGTTGTATGCTTTTCCTGGATTTTAAGTTTCTATTGTTCTTTTTTGCACTAAAGTGTTTTTTTAAATCCATCTGGAATTTATTGTTGATATGGTTGGAAAACTTTCCAGCACATACTTTACTGGTATGTGCCAGTATCATACTTTAAATATCATTCTTTTTCAATAAATTGAAATATTCCTTGCATCATACATTAAGTTAGCAAATATTGGGGCCTGTTTCTAGAATCTACATCATCTTTCCATGGATGTATTTTTCACTTTCTATGCCAATACCATATTGATTTCATTACAATGGCTTCTGAGCATGCTGTTTTCTGGTAGTGGAAGACCTCCTCCCTTACATTCTTCTTATTTTTCATATTTTGTTTTTGTTTATTTGTTTCTTCTGTTAAATGAACTGTAAGGTTAGCTTAGGCAATCTTCTCCTTTACCCTTAAATTTAATATTTTAATTTAAACTATGTGAAATGTGTATATTAAATTTAGGAAAATGACATTTTAATGATGTTAAGTCTTCCCTCTGCCAGAAATACTGATCAACCCATCTAAATGTTATGTTAGTATCTAGCTTTGGCATATCTGTAATTATGCTAAACAGAAGCACATAACTTACCTATGAATTAAAGTCATCTACTGAAGAAATAGCTAACCTCCTTAATATTTCATACTGCACCTCAGTTGGCTTTTTTTTTGGCTTTCATCTGTAGTATAATCTATGTTATATTATTCTTATAATCCATGTTATATTATTATTGTTGGCACTGCTCTTTTTCATCATCTTCCCAGATTTTACATTAGAATTTCAAACACATATCTCTACTTCCTTAAGGTATAAGACTCCTGCTGCACTGGCTGGAGTAGAGATAAATTCAAATAGCATCTTGATCACTGTAGCGTCCACCTGGTCCTGATATTTGACAAGGAATTGCTCTCTAACCTGAGCTAGACTTTGCTTTAAATCCAGAAAGAAGGAAATGGTCTTCTAAGAAACATGAATGAACAAGCAACTCTATCATATCCTTTCTTACTACTTCTGTTACTTCTATTAGCCAAACAAAAAATGAGGAGAGGGTAATGGAGCAACAAGAAAACAAAGGCTCACAGGATAAAGGGCTGCCAACACTCTTGCATAATCTACACAAT